GATAAGAGATCTTTATGCTAATGGCTAGTCACGGCAATAAAAACGTTTCCAAAAGCGACCAAAAAAAGAAAAGAAAAGAATAAGGTTGTTATGTTATCTATGGCGTTGAGTGCGTTTGGTTCAAGGATTCGTGCCATGACACTACAACAAAAAAGGCCATTTGCGACGACATTTTTTGCGACGACATTTGTTGTCACAAATAATACAATATTTGCGACGACATTTCGTCGCAATTACTCCCCATTAAATAAAATAACCATGTCGTCGCAAATAATTTTAGAGCGCAATTTTCAATGGCGCGGATTTTTACCGCCAAGGTAATCTATTTTTTGTGATGGCAAGTCGTCGCAAATAATAATATATTTGCGACGACAAATTTCGTCACAAATAATTTTATGCTATTTGCGACGACATTTGCTCTTAGTCGTCGCAAATAATCTTTTTAAGATTTCACCCAAAACTAAACACGGGAAAAATGATTATTTGCGACGACATTTGTCGTCGCAAATAATTTTATGTTATTTGCGGCGATATTTTCTCTTTGTCGTCGCAAATAATATTTTTAAGATTTCACCAAAAACTAAACGCGGGGAAAAATGATTATTTGTGACGACAATGTCGTCACAAATAAGTATGTTGTAATATACCCTATCTTCTTCCTCTTCATTTTCCCCCGATGCTTTCTCTCTCTCTCCTGCTAAGTCTCTCTCTCTGCCTCTTATTCCCCTCGCCGCCGCCCGTCGACTGGCCCTCTTCTCTCTCTCTTCCCTTCTCTCTCTCTCTCTCTCTCTCTTCCCTTCTCTCTTTTTCCCCTCTCCGGCCGCCGCTCCCACCGCCCTGCCCCCGCAACTCCTCTCTCCTTTCTCTCTCTCTTCCCTTCTCTCCCTTTCTTCCCTTCTCTCCCTCTCTTCCCTTCTCTCTCTCTCTTTCCTTGCTCGCCGCCGCCGCCGCTAGCCGGATTCCGCCGCCGTCCCACTGAATCGCCCGTTGCCGCCTCACCGTTCGATGTTTACCGGTATGTTTTACACACTCCGGTAACTTTTTTATTATTTTTATGTGTTTTGTTGAGTTGTTTGTAAAGTGTTTGTAAAAATGTCTAAATGAGGTTTCTAAACATGTACTATGAGGCTATGTAAATGTTAGTTTTTGACGTTAATTTAGAGTTATTTTTGAACTAGTGGTTAATTTATTAATTTACATTATTTGTTAACATAATTAGATTTAATGTCGAGGAATGAAATTTTTTTTTTTTGTATTTAAATATGTTAACTCTAGATGTTAATAAAATGTTAATTTCAGTCACGTGAAATTATATTTGATGTAGGCGTTTGATTTTTCACCTTCATCGCTGTTTGCCCGGTTCCTCCGACGTAATCCCGCTATTTTTAGCCCCCGTTTAGTGGGTTTGAACTTTGTAAGTTTTTTTATATTTATTGTACTTTTAGTTTAAAATTATTGTAGTTTTTGGTTGTATGAATTCGGGATTATGATTTTGATATTTGAATTATGATTTTCTTATATTGTTGAAATTTAGTATATGTTTGTGATTCTTATTCTGGGTGGCACATCTTGCAGCTATGGTGTGCCGAAATCTTCTGAAGTTATTTTTCTACAAGTTTAGATTTTTGGATCATAAGAAAAATAAGCTGTTATGTTACTGAAATTTAGTTAGAAAACAAGAATTTTAATAAGTTCATTAACAAACTTTAATGAATAAAATTTAATTGTGTTAATAAAGAGTAAAATTAAAATTAATTAAACACATTAATAAATTGTTATGTCTGTTGTTGTGTATAGTTGAAATGCCAATTGACAAAAGTTAGATTTATTTGAGGAACCAATTGCAGCCCAACATCCAATTACCTACGATTGATCATCCAGAACCAGTTGAGCTAGACGCTCCTCTGCCTCTTTCAGATGATGACGGTCCTGATGATGATTCAGATGCTGGCGATGCTACAAACTTAGACGATTAGTTCTGTTATATGTACTTTTTATTTTTCACTTTATTTAGACTTTTATATTTTTTTGAATATTATGTATGCACTTCATGTAGTATTCATAATATATTTTATAAATTTATTTAGATTTACTATTTTTAATATTAATTTATATTTCACTTTTAATGTATCTTAATAAATTCTATTCAGTATGTAACATAATAATGTTTAATTAAAAATATTAAAAATTAATTAATTACCATTTTTTAAAAATTATAAAAAAAAATTAATTTCAGTTTTTTGCGATGACTTTTTTAGACTTGTCGTTGCAAAAAAATAAGATTATTTGCGACGACAATTTGAAATGTCGTCGCAAAAAATGGATCATATCACAAGAAATTTAGAACGACGTATTAGCGACGATTGTCGTCGCAAATACATTTGCGACGACACTATGTCGTTGCAAAAAACGTTTTTGCGACGAATTATTTGCGCCGACAAATTTACGACGATACGTCGTCGCAAAAAACCTTAGTTGCGACGACATGGTTCGAATCATAGTTCGTGGCTCGCAACATTATTTTCTCTCACAAAAAATACACGTAAATCGAGAATAATTCTGAATCATGATTCTGAATCTATCAACCAAACGTCCATGATCAATCTGTACTTCATGAAGCAAAAATAAAGAGCGGGATCGACTGTTGCCAAGAGTATCTGAAATTTTAAGAGATAAAAATACAGATAGCAAGATATACCAACTCTACGCCATTTTTTATTTTTATTATTTTTAAGAAGCAGTCAACAATGACAATAACTTAACAACAACAGCAATAATTATAATAATAGTATAATATAATGATGATTATATATAGGGATATAATAATAGTAATAACATAATGGTAACTATTATTATTATAATCATTATTATTTTTTCGGAACTTTTGTTTTGAACTTATTACAATTTTAACTGAGCTGTATATAATTAAAAAGATTACAAAAAGAAAGATTGTAGGAACATCACTAGTGCTAAATACTATTATTAAGAAAAGTAGACTCCACTTTTAATTTTCATATTACAAAATTCATCTTTTATTAGTGAGTAGTACTAAACATTATCAATGCCCTACAATATTTCTCTTACAAAAAGAGATGAGGGACAAAGAAAGCAAAAGATTCGGTTCAATTAGATAGGATAACTTGAGATATTTTATGTAAATTATATGCTCTTATATATATATATATATATAATGGTTGGTTACATTGCTGTGATCTAGTCGTTCTCTTATGCCACTGTACGTATCTAGATACATCAAGTACCACATTGAAAGGCTCCAATTTGTTTTTGCATTATTGCATACCATAATTATATAAAAAAAGAAAAGGAAAATTTCATACGGGTAATCCATGTTTTAGTGTAATCGTTTTTTAATATCTTATATTTTTGATAATTTTGATAGGTAGTATGACGTTTTAAAAAATTATTTTTTAGTACTTTGAGGTCCTTTTTTAGAATGTAAAACATCTTATACACTTCCCATTAATTAAACAAAAACCAACAATTTAAAAAAAAATTCTGAAAATAGTTTTAAACATCTTTAAATATATTTAAAAAATAAGAAAATAGAATATATTTTTCTCCAGCATAACTTAGTTTTAAACATTTTTAAATATATTAATTTATTCCTGTTTAATTAATGAGGGTATAAATAACATTTTACATCCCAAAAAACGGCTTCATAGTATTAAAAAATTATTTCTTAAAACGTTAGGGTACCACTTTAAAATTATCTAAAACATAAGGGTATTAGTTTAAAATTATAAAAAACATAAGGTATTAAAAAATAATTACGTTAAAATACAAAATATCAATATAAAATTTTCTCAAAAAGAAAAGAACTTTTACCATATAATCAATAAGCAATAAATGAAAAAAAAAAATCCTCGATTTATTTTGTGTGTGTGTGTGTGTGTGATTTTTTTTTTTTTTTTACGTTGTGGATAGCTCATGCATCCTGGTCACGTGGAATAGTAATTATCCAAACATATTTATAACTAATGAATGTGCATTATTCAATTATCCAAACATATTTATAACGACTACTGAATGTGCAATATTCAATTATCCAAACGTATTTTGTCTTCTAGTGGTCTTATGAAGGGCCACATTGTATTATTCAACTTTGAATAGCAATATATGATCCTTTCATGAAAAGCAAGTACACTATACTTAAAATCTCACAGTCATGTACCAATCTCTCATAACATTAATTAAGATGAGTCATGGTGTTAATTGATGTTGGAGATACCAACTCCAATTTCAATTTTTTGTTTATCAATTAAATTTGAGTGTCAGTTATTATTTTTTATTAGTAAATGTAATATCTTAACGTTAATTAATACGACAATATTTTATACACTAACCAATATAAAAATTACAGCTTACATTAGAATTGGAATTAGAATTGGTGTTCTATTATCCAATTAAGATTATTGTTATTCTTTTCCCTTTTTTTTTCCTTTTAGTAATTGGACTGCTGTGTATTTTGGCCGTGTTCAACGTTGAAATTTCAAAGATGCCTAGGCAAGTGGCATATCAATCGGGCGATCTGCCAAATATACAGGCGGGATCTCTTGTCGCCCTTATCTAAAGCCAACAAAATAAGTACTTAATAAGAGTCTTTCCAAGTTGGTTCAGCTCGTGCTGTTATAAGTGCCGTTAAATATTCGACAATGACGGGATTAGACCCTCCAAAATAGGCAAATCACCGTTTCTCTATACACATATATATAAACCTATACGTATATTATAAATTATATAATATATATTCATACTTGGAGTTGTGTTGTTTTTTTTTCCTTTCAAAAAGATATGTTAGCTAACTTGAGCAAAAATCTTTCTTTGCCTTTCTATATATATATATATATATATCACGAGCGGATTGAGCTTTTAAAGCTATAGCTTTAATTTACCTGCCATATCTAATTATCTTATCCTCTCTTTGGCTATAAATATATGAACCAAAGAGAGCTTTCTCAAATATTAACGATATCGTAAGAGTCAAATAATAACCTCACTGAAAGCGGAGAATAGACATTTTTGAGTTCCAATGGAGATGAGTTTTGAGGAAGGCAAAGAAAAGCTCAACAAGTATGCATGTGCATGCTCAATAGTTGCCTCCATGATTTCCATCATATTTGGCTATGGTACGCTCTTTTATTTCTCAGCTCCGTACGATATATAACTTTTTGTGTTAATTCTCTTTATTTCCACTTTATGGGAAGATCTTCTTTCTTGTTGTTTGCATGTGTCCTAGTTCCCCTTGATGTGGCTTGTCATGAAAAAATATAAATTTTTATCTTTTGGCCACTTTCCTTTTGGCCTATCAATCTACATATCCAAACTTATATATATATATATATAGTTACAAATATGCAGAAGTTTATATTGTTACATTACAGAGAGTTTTGAACTCCTGAACTTTGCAATAAGACTTTATATTAAAATCAAAATAACGATAAAAATTTAACGATTGAACGCAAACCCATGTGTTTTGCATTTCAAATATGGAAAAATTAAATTGATATACCAACAGATGTTATTTTGAACTCCTGATGTTGCAATACTTTGTTTTAAAAATAATCTCTTCATACACATACACTACGGTGAATTCTACGTACTAATATGACTTTTTTTTTTTTTTTTTTTTTAATTACTAAGACACCGGTGTCATGAGCGGAGCCATGATATTCATAAAAGAAGACCTAAAAATCAACGACGTCCAAATCGCAGTCGTCGCCGGAATACTAAACCTCTTTGCCCTCGTCGGATCTCTCGCTGCAGGCCGAACGTCCGACCAAATCGGCCGCCGCTACACCATCGTGGTGGCCTCGATCATCTTCCTCTTCGGCGCTATCCTGATGGGCTACGGCCCCAACTACGCCGTCCTCCTCACCGGCCGATGCATAGCCGGTATCGGCGTCGGCTTCGCTCTCATGATCGCCCCCGTCTACTCCGCCGAAATCTCCTCCCCCTCCTCACGTGGCTTCCTCACCTCCTTACCGGAACTCTGCATCAGCCTCGGTATCCTACTCGGCTACGTCTCCAACTACTGCTTCGGAAAATTGGCTCTCAAAGTCGGGTGGCGAATGATGCTGGGAATCGCCGGACTTCCTTCCATCTTCCTCGCACTCGGGATCCTCAAAATGCCCGAATCTCCGAGGTGGTTGGTCATGCAAGGCCGTTTAGCAGAAGCCAAGGAAATCCTTTTCCAAGTTTGTAATTCCAAGGAAGAAGCCGAAATCCGTTTACTAGATATTAAACTTGCCGCCGGGATCGAAGAGAGCTGCAACGACGACGTTTTAGCCAAGGTCCCGACGAACAGCCACGGCAAAGGCGTTTGGAAAGAGTTGATCATACGGCCGACGCCAGCCGTCCGATGGATTCTAATTGCCGCCATCGGAATTCACTTCTTCGAGCATGCGACAGGGATTGAGGCTGTCGTTTTGTACAGTCCAAGGATTTTTAAGAAAGCCGGGATCACGAGCAAAGACAAGCTCCTGCTCGCCACGGTCGGAGTTGGGGTCACGAAAACGACATTCATTTTAGTTGCGACTTTTTGGCTCGATAGGATCGGAAGGAAACGTCTTTTGTTGACCAGCACGGGTGGGATGATTGTGGCTTTGACTGGGCTTGGGTTTTGTCTGACCATGGTGGAGCATTCCAAAGAAGAGCTTGTGTGGGCCTTGGGCCTTAGTATTGCCTCCGTGTACGTGTTCGTTGCTTTCTTTTCTATTGGGCTTGGGCCCATCACGTGGGTTTATAGTTCGGAGATCTTCCCGCTGAGGCTTAGGGCCCAAGGAATGAGTATTGGGGTTGCGGTGAATAGGGTCATGAATGCCACAGTTTCAATGACTTTTATTTCGATTTACAAGGCGATTACTATTGGAGGGACTTTCTTTATGTTCGCTGGAATAGCTGTTTTGGCTTGGGGATTCTTCTATTTCTTTTTGCCGGAGACAAAAGGACGAACTTTGGAGGAGATGGAGACGCTTTTCAGCAGAAATGGGAAGAAAAGTGGAAACGTAGACATAGAAATTCAGAGAAGGAATGGTTATGTACAACATTAAATAGTACAATTATTAGGGAAATGTTAATATGCCGTACGGGTTTGTGCTTTGAGCTTTGACATCAAATGTGTTTGTTGTTCGTGAGTGGCGTAAGTTCAACGGAGCAAGCAAACAAAGGCTCTTGCCCCAGGCCCCCCACCCCACTCAAACAAAGGCTCTTGCCCCAGGCCCCCCACCCCCCCCTCCAAAAAAAAAAAAAAAAAAAAAAAAAAAAAGGTATAAATTAACTTGTTATTAAAAATGCATGAATCTGAATTTTATCTCTTATTTTTTATTAATACACTTTTAACTAGTATACTTATTTAAGTAAAAAGATATTAATAAAAAAATAAGGAGTATTTCTTTTTGAGGAAGTTTCATTTAAAAAAAAAAAAAAAATAGAACCTTTTGCAGTAATAAAACGAAAACAAAAGTGCTGTAACTTTCTTAATTTATAAAAAAGGGAAAAGAAAAAGAGAGAAAAATCTGAATTTAGCCCCAATTGATCTTTTTCTGAACCTAACATATGCCCCCGAACAAATTAAACATGGTCTAGTAAGAGGATGTGTTTTATATTTACCGGGCCTTGCTAGTGCTCATTCTCAAAGCTAGTTAAAAGAAAAAATAGAAAATTTAGTCTTAAGAATATATATTTACTCTTGATAAATACTATTTTGTTAGTGTAATTATTTAACTAAAAATGTTATAAATCAAAAGAATCAAAAGTAAAAGGTAAAAATATTGACTCATGCACTTTCAAAGAGTCTTTGTCAAGATTACTCTAATTAAAAAGAAGAGGAGAACCAAACTACATATGGGACAATTATCGTTATGTTTGTTCGTGGTTCAAATCATTTTATTATAATGTTTTTTTTTCATATATGGTTTTTAAAAATTTAGTACATGTTATACTCTAGGGATGACAATAGGGCGGGGTGGGTGCGAAAGATGATTTCCCATCCCCATATCCCAGCTACCTTAAACTATCCCAATCCGCATTCTCATCCCCGATTAAGGAGGGGTGGGGTCAGAGTCATGGATTTCCCATTAGAAGAGTCTTTCCCATACGCCTCATTCCCTATTATATAAGATGATACACTTCAAAACTATAGCAACTTAAAATAAAAATATAGTAGAAATTCATTATAAATTTAGACCAAAATCAAAGGTTTCATGATAATAACCAAATTCTTAACATATTGCAAATTGAATACAAAAGTAATAATTAACATATAAGTAAAAAAAGTTTAAAAACATCAAAATATAAACATAAATTATCCTTTATTGTTTATTCCTAATAGCTTTAATTTTTATTGCATAATTACAGATTAATCAGATTAATATGGGGCCAGAGGCGTGGTGGAGAACACTTCCCTCATTCCCACCCCGTCATGAATCAAGGACTAAATTTTATCTCTATCTCCATTCCCAATAATTGTTCCTCATCTCTATTCCGTTTGGAGCGAGGCCGTCCCACGGAAAATTTATATATTGTGAGCACGCTCCTCATATGATTCTATTCTGAGCGTATATTTACAAAGTTGACTTACCCTCTTAGTACCACGATTAATGTTGCAAATAAAAAATAAATCAATATTTAATTTTACGTTTGGTTATATAGAGTCCCTCTTTCTGATTTTCTGAATTTCCTCTTAACATTTCTTCCATAAGCTTTCTGATATCAACGTTGCTTGCAAAGTTTTTTGTTTCGTTTTAGTTGGTAAGAGGCAGTTCTTCCACGCAATTCTTTCCCAAGAGTTCTTTTCCATTTCCAATATTTTTCCTTTTTTTTTTCTTTGGGCGGCGCATAGATGGATCACAGTTTAATTTTTTTTAGATTAAAACCATTTTAGTACTCTATTATAGCAAAACGTGATTTTGATATCACGTGTTTTTGACAATATTAAATCGGTATCTCGACATTTTTAAAAAATCTTCTTAGTACTTTGAAATTGATTTTTGAGATATAAAATCTTATTATCGTTTTTTTAATTAATCAAAATCTAATATATCTAGAAAAAATCATGAACTTTTTTATTTTGTTCTTTTCTTTTAAATATTTTAAGTTTATAAAATATTTTTAGATTTTTTAGAAAAATAGGGGATTTCTATTTGATTAATAATTAAGAAGGGTTATATGTCTCAAAAATTAGCTACCAGATACTAAGAATATATTTTTAAAAACGACAAGGTATCATTTTAATATTATCAAAAACACGGGATATTAAGAGCATGTTTTGTTATAATACAGAGAACTAAAATGATTTTATCCTTTTTTTTTTATGTCGTTTGGTGTGATGGTGCTTTGTTTGATTGTTTCTTATGTTATTCCTTCCATATTGTTTAAGAGAAGGAGATAATTCCAACTTTATCTTGTTTCTTAATTTGATTCAAATTCAGATACTAATTTAAAAGTCAAACTTTTCAAACTAAGTTAAAAATCAAATTATATAACTTGGATAACAAGTAACTTGATTTTCACTGGAAATTTTCCCCGTGGTACATGTCTCCCTGTGTTCCAGGGATGTAGACAGTGTGGTCTCACTTCAGTGTGCGTTTCAAAAGTATTTTATTTAAATAATTATATTATATAAAGTCATAAACTAATTTATAATTAATTTATTTTGAGTAATTTAATTTCGAATTCCATATTTCTAAATGAATATTAAATCACGTTAATTCATATTATCTAACAATAAATACAAGGATGATGTGGAACTCATAAATCTATAATTTCAAGCTCCAATTAAAGTAAATAACTTATTAAACTCTTTAATCAATTAATTAATTTTATTAATGGATAATTTCATATTAGTACATGTGTTTTAGCATAATTATTTTTTTAGTATCCTGTATTTTTAATAATTTTAAATTGGTACCCTAACATTGTAAGAAATCGTTTTTAATATCTTAAGGCCCTTTTTGACATGCAAAATCTCATTTTTACCCTTATTATTAATTAAATAGAAACCAATGATTTTTAAACATATTTTAAAAATATTGTAAATATTAAAAAAATAAAAAGTTTAAAAAAACCTTCCCTCTTGGACTCTCTCTCTTAACTGTTGAAACTAATCACGCTTATTTAGTGTTTAAGACATATTAGAGATAATAAATTCATGAGTAATCTGTCGAAACTCGCCGCTGGGGAGAGCTCGCAAAACGGGAGAAAGGGTTGCAAGAGGTGTTCTTTGAACTCCTCTCTCCAAAAGTTACCCCCATACACACATGCACATATGCCACATATATATAGACAACAATAAAAATATATATTATGTTGTCTTCAACAATTAGTTGTGTGGGCCTTGTTGAGCTATAACCAATATCAATTTGAGAAGGTATTTGGTCCAATAGGCTCATCAAATATTGTGTGATAGAGAGACTTTATAGGCCTCAAGTTAGACAATAAAATGAGTGTCCATCTCATTCTGAACCAGTATTTGACATACATACATAAATACACTTATAACAACAAAATTGTCTATAACATACTTTAGTTCATATTAAAGTGAATTATTATGATTACGAAAGTTCATATAAAAATATTCCAACATTAACGCAACCTCTCCCTCTTCTCTTCTCTCTCTCTCTCACAAACCCCTTGTCTCTCTCTTAAGATCGTTTCATTGTTAATTGGATTGATATGTATTAGTAACAATTTAATTAAAAATTTTGTAACTTTAATTAAATTTATTATTGATATATTGTGACTATTATTAATAAATATTATTCTCTCATATAAAACAGTTATATATAATATTTAAGGTCGCATAAATAATTACAGAATTTTTAATAATATTTTAAAGTATTCAATTATACACTCACATGAAATAATTGAAATTTCACTTTATTTTATTAATAATAAAATATCTAAATTTCACATCATGTTTTAAGGGGACTATTTTTCACAAAAACATGGCTGAAGTATATTCTTTCTAATACTAAAACATGGTTAGGGCGCTATATTTTATTACATCTTCATATCATATTATTGCTCGCTAGTTGCTATGCCAAATGGCCCCATATCTATTTAAAGAGAAAGCTAGAATATTTGTTTCATCACTCTCTTTCTCACTCTTTATATTCTGTCATATGTCATCCTACTTTCCAATTAAAATATAACATAACTACCACACCCATTGTTTTACCCTTTATTACAACTTTGTCATCATATTCTCTATTTTGTTTTTTATAATTTATTACAAGATTAATTTTAAAGTAGAAAAGACGTTGACAAGAGAATAAGAAAAATTTTATATAATTGTATTTATATAATGGCTGTTTTTAATAGTATATACTCTTTTTTTAGTAAACGTACTCTACATTACAGCGTTATATGTATATACACACCTACTAAAGGATTACCAAATAAATCATAAGTATAAAGATATATAATAACGATTCTAACAAATAAGAAAAGAAGAAATATATAACGTTGGAGTGTATTACAAAACAGGTTTGATATCGCAAGTGGTCGATATCTTGCAAAACGATTTCAGTAGGAAACAAAATTAACAACATATTCAAAGTATGTTTTTTTCACAATCAAAACTCATTTTTTTTTTGTATGAGAGAAAATATTATAGTAAAAAAATTATATATAATTTTTTAAGAGAGAAAATACTGCGTAAAAAAATGTTTAAGTTGTGATTAACTTGTAAAAAAGAACAAGGCCTTATAAACTCTTCTGAAAGAACAACATACTGATGCAATAATAAAGAGAAAATGAGGAATAATAAATGACAATTTAGTATTCTTTAAGCATAGTTGTAATAAGAGATAATACAAATGGGTGATAGTTATGTTTTATTATTGGAAAATGAAATGACATGTGATAAGAGGAGAAGATAAAGAGTGAAAAATAGAGAGATGAAACCCTAACATTTCTCCTATTTAAATATCAAACTTTATTGAAAAATATAAATGAATGGTCTTCATATTAAAGTATTAAAAATAAATTTGAGACGTGGCACTATGCTAATTGGGTGACTGGTCCGGAAACTGAAGGCTGGCCCCTCCTTCAAAATTTTAAAAAACAAGGCTAGTTTGATTGCTCTTTTTATTTGTTTTTTTATTTTTGCTGAACAGGCTAGTTAATTTCAAATCGACTTCTTTCTAACACAAAAAATTACTATTGCCTACCCCTTTTCCATCACATAGAGTTAAAACAAATTAAAAAGTAAAAATATGGTTTGTTTAAACATTTTACCTTCATTACAATTACTTTCCCATGCAATCTCTTTTCACATCAATCGTACGTCAAGGCGAATTTTGTATCATTATTTTTCTAAAATACTCATAGTACGTGGCCAAAGCACAAGAATTATGCACCCGTCTCCTCACGTAGAGATATTCCAATATGTAACCAAAACCAAAAGGGTAGTCAAAACTATACTATTATTATTATTTTATTTATTATTATTATTGTTTTATTTTATTTATTATTATTATTATTATTTTGCTCAGAAACTATATTACGTTGTATTAGTGAGCTAAAAAGATATGTTGGCCAATGACAAGTGGCTTAGTGTTACACACATACGCCAAGCGATAGATCTTGGCCAACAGGTTGAGTTTACATGTCATGGTTCTCGTCAAAATAAAGAATCTAATTATTTCACTTTTTAATTCTTCCACTTTACATACAGAGAAGTGTCACTAGATTTGAGCCTCTATTTTTTTCAGCTTTATAAATCTAAGAAGGGAGCTATTGAAACAATACTATATGCAAGTTATTACAAAAGGGAGCTATTGTTTCTAACCTAATTTCCAGGTTTATATATTTCTGATCCATTATTTAATGTCATCCATAAACATAGATCCAACCAGAGACAGCAGTTGAAGCAAAAACATTGTATTTGTTGCTTTTTTTTTTTTTTTTTTTCTTTTTTTGGGTGCCGATCTATTTTTAACTACATAATGGAGGAGAGTAGAGTTAAAATCCAGACCAAGATAATCAATACTTACGCATGCGGCTGTGTCATAGTCGCCTCAGTTATATCCATTATATTTGGCTATATTAAGCTCTCTCTTCAAAATTGTCTTCTTTGTTTTCCCTACTTTCTGATATGTGCTTTTTATTACCTACGAAAAAAAAAAAAGTGTTTTCACATGTACATATATAGCGTATCTATTTATGAACTTAAGTATCTCATAATTGTGATTACAAACTTACCTTACCCTCCAATCCTCAGCTCAAAGAAAAAATATTATAGTTATTTAATTCATTTTGTCTTATAGTTATTTTTTCTCTAGTAATTGGTACTATTAGTGCCTGAACTTTAAGGATAGTGACATTTTTGTCACTGAATTTTTAGTTTTAGCATAATAATACTTAAACTTTTTGATACGACATTAAAAGTGACGAATAATTTTCAAAGTTTAACAAAGATAATCATGTATCAATCACGTGATAACTTAATTTTATGGAGAAAATTATGTTATATTTAAAATTCTCTTTTGTTATTATTAAATTATAAACCTATTAAAAACTATCATTTTCAATATATTATAACTATTTATATCGGCTACGTCTCCAATTTCCTCTTCAGCAAATTGACTCTCAAACTCGGATGGCGAATAATGCTCGGAGCTTCGGTGATTCCGGCTATTTCTTTGGCCCATGCCGGAGTCTCCGAGGTGGTTGGTTTTGCAAGGCCGTTTGGGAGAAGCCAGGAAGATTCTGCTTCAAGTTTGTGATTCCAAAGAAGCCGAAATTCGCTTGCGAGACCTAAAAATGGCTGACATTTTGGTCGATGTCCCGAAGAATAGTCGCGGCCAGGGGGTCTGGAAGGAGCTCCTCGTGAGGCCCACGCGCTCGGTTCGTTGGATTTTGATTGCTTCTGTTGGCTTACACTTTTTCCACCATACGACGGGAATTGAGGCTGTCGTTTTGTACAGCCCGAGGGTGCTTAAAAGGGCTGGTGTCGTTGGGAAGGATAAGCTATTGTTGGCCACTATCGGAATTGGGGTTTGCCAAAACGACATCCACTTTGGTGGCGACTTTATTGCTTACAAAACTGCGAATTGGGGTCTTGTGGTCTTTCCTTTAAGATTGAGAGCGCAAGGGACGAGTATTGGGGTCGCAGTGAGTAGGATTCTGAACGCTACGATTTCCATGACTTTCATTTCGGTCTGTGAGAAAATTACAATTGGAGGGAGTTTCTTTTTGTTTGGTGGAATAGCCATTTTGGCTTGGGTTTTTTTATTTACCTTTTTGCCCGAGACCAAAGGAAGATCATTGGAAGAGATTGAGACCCTTTTTAGCGGATCAAAGGGCAAGCCCGGAATTAGTAATGATGTTGAATGGTTGTAGTGTGTAAATATAGGGTGGAGAGATTAGTCTTTAGTTGAATGCTATATTTGCTACATTTGCTTTTGCATGTGCTTGATCAGCTTAATAATGTGGTCTTGCATAGTTGTTCCATGACTTTGTGTTGTTGATAAGCTATGAGAGAGTTTAATGGATTGTCAATATTATGATAGCTTCGGAATATGTTGGTTACAATATGGCGATTCTTAATGAGAAGTATGATGTATTTTTTGTAAGCTCATAAATGTTTATTCGATATATTCGATAATATGTATGCATTTAATATCGAGTTCAGCATCCGTCAAAAAGAAAAGCTTATGACCCCAACCTTGTATTAATCTTTGATAAAAATAAAAAAATAAAAAATAAGATCACAAACATTTCGTTTCTTTAAATAATTAAATAATTTGTCCTTCTTAATTCACTTTTTTTACTGCTACTCTGTTGAAATAATTATATGACTATTTGTCAGATTTGAGCATTGGAGTGTCTTCTATAAGACAACTATAGAATAACTAGAAGAGTAGCAGAAAGAGGCAGAACAACCACATGAAGTGGATGTTTAGAAAGTTGTACGTTCCAACATTTAAGGGTTGTTCTGTTGGAATATAACTTGAGTGTAGCTTTAAGTTATAACTTGAGTTGAAGTTAGAACTTGAATAAAGTTGAATAAAATTGAATAAAGTTGAAACTTAAAAGAACGTGAACTTAAATAAAGTTGATACTTGAGTTGTCTTTTTTTAAATTTTTTAGACAAAAGAACATGCCTTTAGTTTCGTATTCTTCTATTAAAATTCTTGTCATTCTGAAGTTAAGATACAACATATTTAAAAAAAAAAAAATGACATAAATTGTCATGCTTTTTAGGCATTCCTTTAATTTTCTTGTTCAAATCCCTCTAAAATTCTAAAGCTCCATTTTTCCCTTTGCTTGACCCTTCATTTATGGGTTGTTGCACAATAACTGTATACGTCCATGTACATTATCATTAACTAGATGAAATAAAATAATCAACTAACATTTTCTTTTGGGCTGAATCAGGAAATCCCTTGAATATATATGATATTTCCCTTGAATATATATGATGTAAAACGGAGTTATTTCCGTTGCCCATCAAAGATTTATCTGTGAATAATATAACGACAAATTACACGATTATACATTATCACAAAATGCCGTCTAAATTTTAATTTGTAACATCATTTCTCTTTAAATTTTAAAATTCTTGTAAAATTTCTCATTCTGTTAAGTTTTTAACGGAATTAGGGACATTTTAGTAAAAAGCAGCAAACTTGGACTTCTTAAAATATATATAATAATAACTACGCTAGATTTTATCGAAAGGTCAAAAAATCAGATGCATTTGTGTTACAATAAACTTAATTGCGGAGAAGTATTTTTCATTGTTTGTGAGAGAGCCTTCAGCGTTCTTCTTGAGCAAACCCACGGAGAGTTTTTCTTCAACAAGTAAGTAAATAAAATAATAAAAAAAAACCCCAGCGTCTTCTGCTCTCAAACCGTCCCCTCTTTCTTCATCCCATCTTTCTTTTCTCAACAAAGTTTATTTTTTGCTAATCTTCTTTTGTTTGGCTAGTTCGTTTCTAATTTCTTGGGGGTTGCATGTATATGACTCTTGATTTCGTATCTTGATTGTTTGGTTGTCGGAGAAATTGTAAACTGAGATCCCGATCGAGCCCAGAATTTCTCAGTTCCGATCTTGTTGTTTGAGTGTAACTGAAACCCATATCTGATTTTTACTCACTCTATTTTCTTAAAAAAAAAAAGAAATCCGTTTAATTTATTAATTTAAATTTTTAATTTAAATTAAAATATAATTTTATGTAAAAATTTTTTGTTATGATAAAAAAATTAAATATAATTATTTTAAAAAAAAAATTATTATAATAAAATTTAAATTTTAAATTCAAATAGAAAAAAAATGAAGTCATCAAAATATCCTTTCACCTCTATCTTGCTCAGTCTATGCAAATACCCCTCTCTCGCTTCCGGAACAAATAAGAATAAAATCCAAAAATAAAAATTATGAGACCAAAACATAAATGGGCTGGGCCTGGTTAGAGCGTTACCTTTTTATCTATTGACAAATTTTATAAATTTTTTATAAATTTTTTTATTTATGTCAACATACTTTATAAGGTTAAGTCCGTTAATTTTTTTTTATCATAAATGCTTATAAATGCTTAATAAATTTTATTACTTGTGTTAATATATTTTATAAATTTTAAAATGTACCTGTTTTACCTCTCGAATTATGATATATCTCAAACTTTTCTCCTTTCATCTTGATTTTATCAATTTTTTGAACAAAAATATTAATATAACAATTAAATTATTAATTATCTATAATATTTTACCATTAAAGTTTATTAAGTTAGTAAGTTTCTTAAAGTTTTTATTGTTTTTTTTAAAGGTACAATAAGAACGCATTTAGATTTAAAAATACTATATATGTATAAAGCATAAACATGTTTTATGTCGAGTACTTCTATTTAGGTGAAATATTGAGAAAAAAAATTAACAAAATTCATTACATTATACAGCTTTTTTTTTCCATCTTTATTGCATATAATTAACTAATGTTTTCAGAATTAGTGCTTAACTAATATTTTTAAAGGAGAAAATATTCAATAAATCTCAAATATTATAAATAATTAATAATTTAATGATAATATCAATATTTTAAAGTTGATATGACTATTTTAAAGCTCGGAAGAAATTTATAAAATTTGTCTTTTTTTCTTTGTTTCGGCAATGCCTGTGGTATGATTGAATGCTCCCCAAATTCATTTTTCAAGGGTATCTTCGTAATTATACATGTAATGTCATAAATCTGAGTCTAAAAAAGTGTCAAGTGTCCTTTTTCGTTAAAAACTTAGCAAAAGATAAATTTTGTAAGAGTTCTGAAGTTTAGAGAGAACATAGGCATTTTATGATAATGACTATAATTCAAGGGGGAACCGTGTAATTTATCCATAATACAAATTAGAGTTTGAATAATGAAAAGGAAAGGGGTCCTCAATCCGCAAGAGATAAAAAGAGGTTTTATTCAATCTCATAGTTTGTGCTAAGAGATGAAACCCTTGCTACTCTCTATATGATTGTATCAAACCTTTGATGGATTAGGATTAGGATTTTATCTTAGGAGAATGTAGTAAATAACATATTTATGAAACTAAATTAAGTTAATAACATATTTTAAAATTATTTTAAATAAATAGTAATTTACTATGTAAATGTTTTATTTATGACTGATAAAAAGATTTTTTTCACATAAATAAAATATTTTTACCAATCATAAACGAAACATTTATGCGGTAAATTGCTATTTACTTCAAATAATTTTAAAATATTCTATTTACTTAATTTAGTTTCAAAAAGCTATTATTTACTACAATGAGTAATTATATTTACACCTACAAAATTTATTAATACAGCCACCGAATTATAATTTATATTTATTACAATTTTATCCTACATTGAAATTACAATAAAACTCATTATATACCCCTACATTAACCATAAATAGAAATGGTATTACTTTTTTAAGAGATAAAAAAGCATACACTCACATAACTATAATTAGAAAGTATTTTCAAAAAGTTATATAAAAAAAACGTACCCCACTTAGGACAATTTGAAACATCATCTACTTCAAAGCATCCTTCAAATGAATAACGTTTCTTTTTTTTTTTCTTTTTATTAGAACTAATTTTATTTAATAAAAAATATTGTTTAATGATGATGATTTTTGTAAAACGTTTAACAAAAAGAGAAATGCAATAAATTTTAATCCTTCATTATTTAGGATGACATACTTAATTGTTCTCTGGACTCTAATATAAAAATTTCAAAAAAAAAAAAAGGTCTAACATAAAGATAGGTGACAAATTAAAAAACTCTAATATATAAGAATAATAATTGTTTGAAAAAATGCAGCATGCAATGGCGTATTAGTAGTATTGTGTGCGATTTTACAAAGTCTTGTAGGAGTCAAAAGAATTATCAGTACAAAACGAAAAACTTAAGCTAAAAAGCTTATAAATAAAACTGTTTTTAAAAAGCTTATAAGTAAAACTGTTTTTAAAAAGCTTATAAATAAAACTGTTTTTTTTTTTCAATGGATAAAACTGTTTCAAAATAATATAAAACAAAAAATGGTGTATAGTTTTCCATAAATCAAATTTAAGATTAAAATTAGTGTCGAGTATAAGAGGGTTAAATTAAGTATTATAAAAATAAAATCTATAAAAGGATAGATTTTACAATATTCATTAACAGAGTATTAATTAGTGAGGGTATTAATAAATTTTCGGAGTGCAAATATAACTAAAAAAATAGAAAATTTACCTTTGAAAGTGCATGAATTGGGGGAGGGGGGCTTGAAAAGATAGAAAATTTACTCTTAAAAGTACATAAATCTGGATCTTTATTCGTTATTCTTGATAAATATTTATTTATTAGTGTAATTATTTAACTAAAAAATTTATAAATTAAAAGTAAAAAAATAAAAATCTCATGCACTTTGAGCTTTATTTTAAAAAAAGCCCAAAACGAAACCGATAGTCTCCTCATAATGGAGATTTGGCATTAAATAAAGGAGAAAGTTTTAACTAAAAAAAATTCCAGCTTCTGAATATCTAGAAAATTAATAAATAAAAATTCAGCAGACTAGGAAAAACAAAAAATAAATAAAATTCAGCTTTTGATGGTGCCCACACGACACCTACAAGCAAGGAGAGCCTTTAGGAAGTTGAAGCAAATCTTCCCCATTTTCTTCTCATTTCCTTCCAACACACGTCCCCTTATTTTTCTTCCATTGTCAAGGTAATTAAGGCCCTTTTGAGGAAGGCGAGAAATGTGTTTTAGCCTTTGACCCTAATTATTCTTACTTCTCTCTGTAACCAAATTCCTCCAACGTTCTTTCTCTCTCAATATTGCTGTACGTACATGAGGAAGTTGTGTCCGAACATTGAAAAGGAAGATGGGCTCGAGACGGTTCTCGAGGTTCCCATACCAGAAGAAATGTTCAAAAGCATGGGCAACAACACAGCCATGAGGTTCCAGAACATGCTGACGTGGATGAAGGCTCAAACTTCGGACAAATGGTCGGCTCCGATTATCGCCGGCCGCCTTAATGAGCTACGTTTCCTTCTCAACCTCGTCGGATCGCCGCTCATCCCTCTTCAGGTCCAATTGGGGCATTCCGTCCACCGCCCGGTCAAAGATTGTTCCATTGTACGTAATAACAACCCACTGATCATCTCAGCTTCACCAATATATTTCTTTTAAATATCAAATATATATATATATATATATATATATATAGTTCCAATATATTATTGTACGTGAAAGCAATGTAAGGGATAATTTGAGATCGGAAAAAAAAAAGCTAATATCACTTTTCCTGCAACCACACAAATGTTAAAGTATAAAAATTATTGTTGGCCCACCTCCTAATAGCTTAAACTTTTAGGATGGATTGGTAAACTAACATGGTATCAGAGTGAGAGGTCCTAAGTTCAAACCCCCGTAATTGCACTCTTTATCCCCATTTAAAATTATCATCATGTGTTGGGTCTTTAATATATCTCGGACTTTAAATATTCACGTGTTGGGCTTTCTAATTAATTTACCCACACGATTGCCCATTGTCCAGCCCACACGTGAGGGAGAGTGTTAAAGTATAAAAATTATTGTTGGTCCACCTCCTAATAGCTTAAGCTTTTGGGATGGATTGGTAAACTAACACAAAATTGTGTGGATTTTTTTATACGTTACACAAGTTGTAGGTACAAACATATTAATCTTCTGGCCAGCTGCCAAGCTAGTAGTTATAATATGAAATTATCATGTGTAGAATAGTATGGATGTGTTCCATTAATTAACATATATATGAATCATAAATTTATGAGTGCTAATTAACATGTGAATCATTAATCATTTAAACATATTTGTGGTATTTTTCTGATTATTTGTTTTTGATGAGTTGGAAAATTTGCAATATATCAATTCGTATAAATGCATATATGATATACAATATTATATTAAATCATATGGATTTATAGGAGACTAGGACTCTAGATTACAAAAAATGCAAGGACTAATTTAACAGACAAATTATATATCAATTAGTCAAGAAATATTGGCGATGCCAAGTCTGGTGATTAGGTTTTGTTTGTATACTAGAAAATATAATTATATGTAATGGTAGTGATATTAATATAATTACTTGTTAATTACAGCAAGCTTCTACGGCGAAATACATAGTGCAACAGTACGTGGCGGCAACGGGAGGCCAGCCGGCGTTGAACTCGGTGCAGAGCATGTGCGTGACCGGCGCTGTTAAGATTAGTGCGTCCGAGTTTCACCAAAGCAGCGGCAGCAGCGACGATGACGACGGCAATGTAGACGTTAAGAAATCCTCGGAGGAGCTTGGTGGGTTTGTGCTTTGGCAAAAGAATCCAGATTTGTGGTGCATAGAGCTTGTTGTCTCCGGGTGCAAGGTTATATGTGGAAGCAACGGCAAGCTCTCGTGGCGGCATTCCGCTAACCAGCAAACGCCCATCTCCAAGGGCCCTCCTAGACCCTTGCGCCGTTTTCTTCAGGTAATTAATGCTTTTGTTATATCCACACTTAAAATCAATAAATAAATCTAGTGCCTTTTTTTTTTTTTTTTTTTTTCATTTATACATTTACAAAACATAAAAAAGGTCTAGCACTAGAAAACATTAGTAACACTAACATGATGTATCTATCTACAAGGAATAATTCTTGGGTGTCGTCAATATAACTTTTTAAATTAGAATTGATCTTAGCAATAAATAAATAAAAGGAAATAATGATCAGCCGTCGTAATTCGCTAGGTTTTTTTTTTTATTAGTATTATTTTAACGCAATATTTTATCCAATTTCTATATATTTTCCACTTATTTTTAAGAAAAGTTACAAAAAATTTCCGTTGCCGGGAATCGAACCCGGGTCTCCTGGGTGAAAGCCAGATATCCTAACCGCTGGACGACAACGGATTTGATGATAAATTGCGTTATAGTTAGTTATAAACTAGAATATTTCAATTTTGCAGGGTTTGGATCCAAGAGCCACGGCCAACTTATTCCTAGACGCAATGTGCATAGGCGAGAAAATAATCGACGACGAAGACTGTTTCATCCTAAAACTAGAAACGAACCCAGAAATCCGCGACGCACAAAGCGGACCAAACTACGAGATCATTCACCACACCATATGGGGCTACTTCAGCCAGCGCTCGGGCCTCTTGATCCAGTTCGAGGACTCGAGGCTGCTAAGGATGAATACCAATTCAGACGAGGACGTTTTCTGGGAGACCAGCACGGAGTCAGTGATGGGCGACTACAGATATGTCGACGGAGTCAACATCGCCCACAGCGGAAAGACGCGCGTCACGGTTTTCCGCTACGGCGAGCAGTCGGCGAACCACAAGAGGGAAATGGAAGAGACGTGGAAGATCGACGAGGTGAACTTCAACGTCCGGGGATTGACCGCGGACTACTTTTTGCCTCCTACTGATCATCGTGACCGAGACCAAAACAAGCAACAACGTTGTTGATATTTATACATACAGAGACATATAACTCATGGGAAATTTTACCGGCCGTTGTTTATGTCTTGATGATGAGTATGAGCATTTTCGTATGTAGCATACGGTGTACTATTTTTAACGTGAACACTCGTATAATCAGATTGTTAAAATTTAGCCAAAGTAGGTTATCGATATATGGTAAAACAAATTAACTCCTAATTAATCATTTGCGAAGGTTTCAATTAAATCTTGCGCTGATTTTCTAAGACATGGCAAAAGGTGAGGTGTAAAACACGTGTACCAGAATCGGACAGCCAGCATATTGTTGATATGATCAAATGAGACTTTGTGGAGCTTGGTTAGAGAGTTTTGTTAGTCTGAATGCAGTTTGTTAATTAATTAGGATGTGTTAATTCATTGGGGAACTTAGTTAATTAGATATATATATATATATATATATATATATATTCGTGCGATCTACTTTATATGTAGCATATGTATATAGTTTGAGATATCAGCATTATTGAAAACTCCCAAGTAATAGTCATTGCAACTCCTTTTTATATATTGATGTTTGTTCTGTGTCCGCGGGGAACTCAAGGGTATCGTGTCTAATGGATCCTAATGTCGGTAAATGGTGTATGAATATCATGGTGCGGACAGACGCTCGTTTGAGATGGGGAGTGAAACAGTGGATTATGTGACATGTATGCAATATATGGTAATGTAGCCACTGGTCAATAGTGAGTCAGCATTGGTTATTAGGATAATTTGGCACTGGGCTATATAATGGGTTGGCACTAGTCTATAGGACAAATCGGCACTGGTTTATGAATTTAGTCAAGGCACTGATTATACACGATTTATAATTGTTGACGGACTAAGGATTAATTTTCTGAAAACACTCAGAGTAACCTCTCACGGATTAATTAAGAGTTAATGCTGTAGATTAATATAGAGAAGACTAGAATTTATAGTGGTTCGCCAAGATTTCTTGGCCTAATCCACTTGTGAATGCACTAATACTTTGTTGATTACAATTTCTCTAGAGTAGTAGAATAGTGTGTGTAAAAACCTTAATGAATTTCCATGGCTCTATTTATAGGCCTTGTACACATGGGAGACCCCATTTGCATTTCCCGAGGAGATCATCCTCTCTCCCTTAATTCTGAGATTTGGCAGTTGTATTTTTATGATTACTGCTTCTAAGTCAGGCTAACTACCCTTACCGGCTACCTGATTTCCTGACTTTGATAGTAGTAGTTGGCATAGTGCATCTTCCCTTGAGTTGACAGGACTATCTTTGGATTGGACTGGGCTGCTACCTCGACGTCGTGGCCTTTACCACTTCAACGGGGCTCTCGACGCATGTTGTCTCGCGTGAGCTCTCGACGTATAAAGGGCACCTTAGGTACAATTTATCCCTCGACCCCAGCAACCGATTCTCGACATGGAGGCCTCGGCGCTTGTCGTCCAAAGGAATGGTCAATTCCTCGACTGTGGTGTAACAATAATCATGATGACGGAAATGATATTTTTATAGAAAATAGAGTGTAGAGATTATCTACGACTATAATATCTACATGGAAAAAATTAACATAAAAAATAACTTACGTCCTAAAAAATAAATAAAGTGTAGAGATTGTAATAAATATTAGACTTTTAAAATTAAATTAAATAAATAACATATTTTAAAACTATTTAAAATAAGTAGCAATATTCGTGATAAATAAATCATTTATATGGTAAATGATTCACTTAGGGCTAGTAAAAAAATAACTTATGTGGTAGAAAATCTTTAAAATCTTTATTTATATGGAAAAAAATTCTTTTTGCGAGTCATAAAAAGAAAATTTATGTGAAAAAAAATGTTTTTACTAGCCGTAAATGAATTATTACACGGTAAATCATTTTTTTATTACATAAAATACTATTTATTTTAAATAATTTTAAAATATACTATTTACTTAATTTAATTTTAAAAATCTGTAATTTACTGCATTCTAATAGGTTAAAAAGCCCATAACTGCTAGACAAAGAAAACGTAAAAAATCAGAGTCAATTCAAAGTCAGGAAAAAAATAAATTCAAAAAAAATGAAAACACTGCTCAGTAAAAACATTAACGTCAGGAAAAAAAAAAGGAGAATATAAAGAGACATTCACCAAAAATAGACTTCAATGATTGATAAAATGCATCAAAATGTTGCTGCAACATAAATAAGAAGTCTTCAAGGATTTAAACTAAATAATGCTCCACGTACAGAAATTAAAGCTACGCTATCAGTGTCCTATTGAGGCCTAAAACCAAAAAACAAAAAACAAAACAAAACTAAAAAACTAAAAAACTAAAAGGAGAGGGAAAAAACTAAAAAATGCTCCACGTACAGAAATTAAGGGTACGCTTTCAATGTCCTATTGATGCCTAAAATAAAAAATAAAAGGAGAGGGAAAATCTAATAATTAAAACATAATATCAGTTTTAAATCTAGAAGTTATTAAAGACTAATAATTGCGTTAAAAATAGTAAATCGGCATAAAATATTATCAAAATAAATCAGCCCAAATAATGAGAATATTGTTGGAAATAATGGGCTCTCAATACTCATAAATGAGATCAAACAACAATCAACCCTAAAAATACATTGTCATATGAATTTTGAAGCATATAGAAAGTCTATAGTTTTAGGATTACCTTCTCCCCATGGCATAAGAATGGGGTCGTTCATGGTTGCTAGAAAATGTTTAAGACAGGCCGGAATTGGTGCTTGAATGACCTGAAAAATCAAAGGGGCTTGAAGAGTTCTTGAACTCTTTCTCTTCTTTGCCTCTCTCCACTCCCACGGGCACACACATACACGGCATGGGAAAAAATTTTCCCCTCTGGTTTTATGCTGCAACCTTAGGCAATTGGGCCTTGTTGGGCCTCAACCAAAATTATTTATAAAAAGGAAATTTGGTCCAATGGGCTAGCCAAATATTTAGAGAGAGTGAGTTCACATGCCTCAAGTGAGTTAATAATATAAGTTTTCATCCCATTATGGACTAATATTTAACATATATGCATTAATTATAGAGTGAATTATTATGATTGTGGAAGTCCACATAAAAATATTCCAATAGTCTCCCACGTGGACGACATAATCATACAACAAACATTCACTCATCCAGCATATGCATCAACTAAGAATCTCACATAATAAACACAAGCCCAAAACAATCATGCATAATAACTTATCGACATGATACGATTATTATACAAAATCAGGCACTATAGATTCATCAAAGCATGACGACAACTTTAACATATGGATCAAAAACAATAATAGAGACTAACAACCAGATGTCTCTTTTCAACTTGTCACTTTGCCATCTAAAAAGTGTGTGAACACAACATCACACATAAAGTGACAGATCCATCAATATGCATGTATTATTTGAGGCATAAGCAATCCTTATAAATAACAACATGTCACACACAAATGGCAGTAAACTCCCACTAACTCAATACAACTACAGGCTCCTTACAGACCCGAGTAGGATGCGTGTTCTTAAAACACCTAATAGGTAAGCCCTTAGTGGAACCGCCAACATGTTGTTTATAGGCGTGTTTTCAACAACAATGAGGCCTTTTACAATTTCTTATTACAAAAATAGAATACACTATCATTATGCTTGAGCGGACAATGCTCCTGGTGTTCTAAGAGAAATATACTATTATGAAACTTTTACAACACAATTTCAGCCGTTCATGAAATGGAGTGAACTACTCCTAGTGTTAAAATAAGGTTCCACAATCACATCACACAAATAGCCTCACGATACGCCACATACTGCGCATCACAGTCAAGGACACTACGAGTGTCTATTTGACACTTTTCAACAAAGTAGCTCATCCTTTTATCATTTATGCAGCTTACATAATCGGCATCACGAAATCCAACTACAACTAAAGTGTTGGTTCGCCAATACACAACTATATGGTACTTCATTCCCAGTTAATTCAGTAATAATAACAACAGTCACTCAAGTACCAAATCTACATGTCAACAACAAATACAATAATAAGACGTGTGCATATTTGAGCATACATCAGGCTGCTAAACACGTAAGCATAAGGGACAATTTCATATGATCTATCTTACTTCACCATAAAGACATTACACCTTTGAGAGTGTCACTTTAACAAACAATGCTTACTAGGAAAACAAGAATGCATACTGAACCTGTTTGAAACAAGAACAATATAGGTTCTCTAATACAACCAGAAAATGCACTTATCCTTGTCACGGATAATCTACATGCCTAGAACATAAGAGGCTTTTTCAAGATTTTCAAACCATAGTGACTAGGCGACATACTATTTATTTTAACCAGCAGGTCAGAATCATTAGGCACGAGCAAGTTGTCACCGACATAAAAACATAGACGTGCAACTGCTCCCACTGACCTTACACGTATGCATTTATCAACAACGTTCTCCATAAAGCTAATTTTAGTGACTGTCTCATCCTAAAATTGAGACACTACTGCCTCAGTGTTATCTATACATTCCCACTCATCATAGAGTTTCTCAACACATTAGTGGAGCTAGGAAATACATTCATTCTCAAGACTATGTCTGTTTCATCATTAACGATTCATAAAGAGATTCATACCATATATAATAACTTGTCCCATTTAACGTCAAGATAGCGTAGATGCAAGGATTGCTCAAGGACTGCATTACATAAAAGAACATGTTATTTTGAAAGGATACTCGGACGCAAGTTGGATATCCGATACATATGATTCTAAGGCTATTAGTGGATATTTATTCACCTTGGGTGGTGGTGTAGTTATTTCATAGAAATCCTCTAAGCAAACGATAATAACCAGATCCATGATGGAAGTTGAGTTTATCGCACTGGATAAATATGGCTAAGAAGTTGAATGGCTTAGACATTTTGAATAGGCTAACGCATGTACCTGCAATTTACGTATAAAGTGATAGTCAATCATCTATTGGTAGAGCACATAATATGATGTATAATGGTAAGT